TGTTATTCACAGCTTATAGACAAATTGATCGTTTGTTGGTTGATCGGTTCAACGATATTGACCGCATATTTTTACCATGACGAATACTACATACCCTTAGAGTGCAATTTTAATACTCTACTAATTGGCAGAAAACAGTGTTCTTATTTCTGTTTTTTATGTTTATATTCTGTTTTTTTTTTTCGTTTACTTCACAATTCCTTGTCGTAATTCTAATGAAAGGATTTAATGTTAGGTTCATAGTCAGCCATATATCCAGAAAATAAAATACGGTGAACTAGCCGTACTTACTTATTTGGTATTTCTTCACAGAGCTAGACATAGAGTATCGTCTAAATGCAGAAGAATACCAAACACCAGGCAGCGTCTGCATTTAAAATACTCTTCTGGCTCTTCTAAACAACACTTGAATAGACGCGCGTAGGCAAATGATTTAAAGTTTTGCCGATTTGGGTGAATTCTCGAAACTCTCAAAAAGTTGATACAGGTTGGTAATTGTTTAACACACTTTGGTGACAACTAGGCGAACTACGCATAAATTTAGCCAGTAAAATTCATGTTTATCTCCTAGTCTAGCGGACGAACACTGTAAAAGGGGTTCAAGAACTGACTGATGTTACCTAGAAATGTATGTACAACTCCTGGGGATCATCATACTTTATCTGTATGTCTAGTAAGTGCATTTTTAGGCATAGTTTGAGTCGTTTCGAGAAAAATCAGATCGGCTGGATAATAATTACGTTGTCTCCAATAGAACTAAGTTATTTTTCTTTAAAGAAGGTAATTTTGTTAAACGTTCATATCCAAATTATCGAAGCGCTTGACAGTCAAAGGAAAGCCCATGGTCATATTTAACGCAATAGTACCAACATCAAAAATGCCTCGATGATATTTTCGCATCCAATTATTACTTCTAATACATTTGTACCTGTCCTTCGTGGTTTAGCTTCTAATCCACTAATGATTGCAGCATAAGCGAAAAGAGTAGATAGATCGACATTAACGGTTCGAATCCGATGTACTGGTCTGGGTTCGGAAGCTGGGTCTACCAATAGTCCGTCTATCGCCTGCGTAGAATAGGCAGATGCTAAGAGAGTTGTGGCTAAAAAAGGGAGCACTCGGCTTTAGCGGCAACAAGAAGTCCTGACGTCAAGAGGTTTTTTTTGTGGGTGGGTGGGGGGGGGGGGGGGGCTGTCCGATTCGATTAGCTCATTCGGCTCATTACACGACGATTCAAAGGTTTTACGATGAAAGTATCAGTACAGTTTACGAGCTTAAAAGGCCGAAGTATATGGCAACCAAAACGGATCCGCTTTCACCGAGAGCTGGTGTAGAAGGCACGTCTGAAGTTGCTCCGCCACTGCTGATGATCTGCCGTTCTTTTTCCATAAAAGCACTAGCATTTCCTTCAATCAATCTCCATTAAACGAACACACACAAATAATTAACACGAACGAAAAGGTCACTTTTCAAATGCGGGAAGAGAACGGGGGTTTGGGTGATGTGCTAACTTTAACACGTCTGAGCATAGATCTTGAGACTGCTTCTAATCGAGTCATCGGCTCCCAGGGAGGCAGACGGACGAGCTGGCAGGCGACAGCAAACAGTTACGACGGTTGCAACGCGCTAGCAAAGCACAATATAAACTGTGCGAGTCATGACACATATGCGGCTCTTTAAGCAAATTCAGAATCAAACCTACAGCCGTTCCATTCCGCCGCAGTTTTTATTTAAGAAAGCAAGTAAATGTTAAATGCATATTACCGACCCTATTTGCTGAAGGACGAAAGGCAGAAGGAACGTCGCATTCCACCTAGTAAAGAAGTGTAAATGAAATTCTTCATGAGGTGTGGTTGGCAGTTTTCGTACTGGCAGCTGCTATGACAATCTTATAATGAAGGTCCGTTTAATTCCGTCCCCAGGCTTCTGCTTTCGTGTCCCTTCTTGCAACTTACTACGAACCGGGTACATCTAACCGAAAAAAAGGTAGGGTTCTTAGCGCGCCGTTGGCTTACAATGTCATTGCAAAACAACAGCAGCAGGTCCTTTCAACGTGCTTGTTGTCACATCCTGATATGTCCTCACTTTCTTTAAAGGTAACATAGGACAGTGGAGTATCGGTTGGGGATCAACCTCAACATGCCCCAGTTACTCGCCCTTGCCAACTTAACTTCAGCTGGTTCCGCTTTTTACAAGCAAAATCGCGGACGTACACATCACAACTAACCATATATACGCTGAAAGAACACGCGTTGAAGAAGATACGGGCTTTGTGTCTGTGTGTGTCCTCTTTGCTAAATATAGGCAGCACAGACGGTGGTTTTGAGGCAAAGCGACTGGCTTGCGGGATGCAACTAAGCAAGACGAAATCAAGCATGTCGCACCACAAATACGCATACAGAAGAAGAAGTCGCGAAGCGGTGAGGTGGGGTAAAGAACGGCATGGCATATGGCCTTGTCGGCAAACCCTGCCGCCCCACCAGCGTCAATCGTGCATGCTATCTATCTGTGAGCCCCAACGGAGTTTGACTCTTGAAAGAGCTCGCTGGTATATTGCAGTAGAGAGCAAGACGAAATAAGAGGACACACTTTGCGGTACAAACTAAAGTTTAGATGGCGAGACGAGACAAGCGAATGCTTTCGTAACAATTTGTCCGAAAGCAAATAGAGTCTATTTCGAGCTGTCAAGAAGTGCGTAAAGGAAAGCGATGGAGGGGGCCCGCTCTTCTGCGCAAGTGAAAGGGAAAAAGCGAACGAGCCAAGCGAGGGAGCAGGCAGTCAGGCAACAAACCGGGAAGTCCCCCAACATAAACAAGTGTTTGAAAATCGTACATCAAAGAGGTAAACTGTTTGGCCAGCGCAAGCCGGCTGATGCAGGAAATGTCTGCCGGTACTGATTATATGTATATGCATAGGTATCAAAAATGGCCTGTTCACCAGCGTCTATGAACAAAAAAAACGTGCCACTGATTAGAAATATATTTTTGATCAGAGTCTCCTTGCTTCGCACCTAACAAACGCTTTCCTCTTGAACACTTGAATACTTCGACGAGAGACGATGTGGACTGATATAATAATCCATCACTCCCTCCATGCCGTTATAGTATAGCGGCAATAAGACGAACAACTTCATTAAATTACTACGTCCGAAAATTGAAAGAGCGCGACACAATACGTTATGATGATGAGAATGCCCTTGTCGACAGCTACAGCTGCTACTACTAGCAATCGTATGAGAATAGACATAAGTATTTGCAGCAGAAGAGAATTTCTCTGTAAATATGCCTTAGTCTTAAACTCCAGATGGAAAACTCATGTGGTTGTATATCATCCTGTTAGCTTGACATCTGCCAGTCGAAGGTACGTTGAAACTCGATTGGAAATGCTAACAACAGAAAGTAATGGTCTCCTCCTTTCGCTGTTCTATACAACGATTAACACCAGTTTTAATGGCTGTGAACTATTATATTCAATTACTAGCTAAGCACAAAAAGAGGCATGAAATCCACACGGTCGCTGAAATACGTCATCTCCGGCGGCGGCGACGTACTCCTTCACAAAAAGACGTACGTGGTTAGTGGAGCAGTTCCATATGGAGCACGTTGCTTTAACTCGTTACCTTGCGAGTGCTTCCGAAGAAGATTTAAGATCACTAATCTGGTTGTGAAATTTTCACCTGGGATAAATTCAAATGAGTGGTTCCATTAGTGCTTAACCGAAAGCAGCAATCTTTTTTAATCGGCAGTCATTAGCGCGGCTACTGGGTGGTTCAGCGGTTCCTGTGAACAAACGTCTCGGCAAGGAAAGACACCTTACTACCTTGCCAAGGGACGAGGTTCGGAGTAACGAATCGGGAGAGTCCAATCGATAATACTTCGTTTTGTACTGTTGCGTTAGTGAGTAAGCAGGTCAAAGTCCCAATGAGTAGCCGTCCAGAAACGAGCCCGAGGTGTAGCTTAGGACGTCGACGTTGAGGTCAACTACGCTAGGCTAGTCGGTACAAATCAAAAGATCCAATAAACGCAGATGCGGTTTGTCCTAACTCACAGTGAAGCCATCTACTTCAATATGCACGAACCCTAATAAACTTCCTTCAGGCGGAATTTGCTTACGTTCAATAGCCTGTTACAAGCTGATGTGCCAGGTGGTGCAGATTGTTGGTCTCAATGTTCGTCGATGCCAGACCCCTAACTCTTCAAGAGTGATTCAGCGGCCGACCTGAATAGAATCTTCCCTATCTGCAAACGCATAATGATATTTCCCAACCGTTTCTCACGTGATGCCCAAAAGCAATTGCCCAAAAGCTAGAAAACATTTGCGGAAATCAAGTAGCCTATTGAAGTCAAAAATGTCGCTGTAACGTCTTGATTTATACAAACACGTTTTTATTAGAAAAGAGTATTCATATGTACCGTGGCATAAAGGCGTGCGGTTTACACACTAATAACCAAACTACGTTGCGTATGAGAAGAGTATTTAGGTAGAGAACATACATTGTTAAGGTGCCCAATTTTCAAGTTGATGCAGTCATCGGGTTGGATATATATCAATATGGATAAGCTAAGATACAACGACAGAGTTTCTTTTTACAACGACACATGTCTTCATATAGAATGTAAGTGCGTATATCAGACTCGTTTGATTCATATAACATCGAATAATATAAGCAAGAGGCAAGCCGGTTCTGTCTGCTACCTCTATGGTCTATGAGTACCGCATGTGTAACTGTTTTGTGTGCTCGCCTACCTTCGGTAGAGAAGACTTCCACTGTCAAGATAGAGGGAAATAACTACATC